AAGACAAAAGAAACCCAGTTCCTCAGATGATTTAGGAGGCCCCGGGCTATTCTAGAACAGGAAGTTGTAAGGAAAATTTTCACTATAACAGTTCTTAAGTTGTATGTATGTATGTATGTATGTATGTATGTAATTTGAGTTCTATACTGCTTTTTGTAGAGAAGTTCAAGCAGCATACATAGTGCTCCATCCTCCTAATTTTCCCCACAACAACAGTCCTGCCAGGTTGGGCTAAGAAAACAGACTGACCCAAAGTCAGCCAATGAGCTTCCATGGCTGAGGGGGGGACTAGAACGCAGGTCTCATCACACCTAGTCCAGCCCCTTCTCCCCTAGGCCTGATTGGCTCTTGGGCTGAGAGGGTGGGACTGGCCCAAAGTCAGCCAATGAACTTCCACACCTGAGGAGGGACTGTGAACCTGGGTTTCCCCACTCCTAGTCCAGCACCTCCCATACTACACATTGTCTTAGAGCCCAAAATCTCCCTCCAAAACATCCCACATACACATAAAAAGGGAGAGGGGTTTTGATTGTGCAGTTGCGTCCACCACTGTGACTTTTTTGCTCCCTCCTGTCGACTCCTATGATCTCTCTTTCTCTCCCTTCTTTTCTATTTACCTATACACAGATTTTATACACATAGCGTAGTCATTGCATGCCGTTAGAAAAGGTCTGTGTACGTATAAACTCTCAACGCAGCAGCCCAAATCTACCCATAACACTGGCATAAAATCAAATTAAACTGGGATTATAAATTATCCATCACCCATCAGTGCCTTAGAGAAAGGAAAAATCTCACACGCTGGGAGGGAGCTGGGTTTTGCTAACTTTTTCTAGGACATCTGGCTTCATAGTGAAATTTGGCCAAAACTACAACTCTGTTGTTAACACAAAGGTAGCTTTTGAGTGGTTGGACCACAACCCTTACCAATCCTTACCAGCCTGGGAGGGGATAATGGAAAGATCCCGCAGACAGGGCATTGAATAAGTCAGTCCTAGAAAACAGGCTATTAATGCAGATTTACTTCTCTGCATCTAAACAAAGTATCCATATTATAGGTGATTAGTTGGAATTGCTCTGAAGCAGTATCAGAGAGCAAAACGAACATGGGACAGGGTACATGAACACTCAGACCTGGTTCCTAGTACAGTAAAAGCTTGGATTGCAAGTAACTTGTTCTGTGGGTGTTCCGCAAGATGAGCAAACATTTCTAATAAATTTTAACTTAATAAAAGAGCGATGTCTTGCAATACGAGTAGAACGTGACGCTGAATGTCACATGATCACAACTGAGCCAATGGTGGTTTTCTCTCTCGTTGCGGGATTGTGGGTGATCGTCTCCCATGCTAGTGATAGTGAAAGTCGTCCTACACCAGTGTTGTCCAAACTTGGCCACTTTGAGTGGACTTCAACTCCCAGAATTCCCCACCACTCACTTCTCTTCTGGGGATCCGGTGGGGGGAAGTTCATCCCAAAAAGGCAAGCTTGAGCACCGCAGCGGGAGG